ATGAATCCCAAAAGCTTTCAGATGGCAAAAGGATTTCTCCCAGCAAATCATCCCAGAGGAGATGGTAACCACTCGCCTTCATAGTTTGCTCCAGTGGTTCATCAGCCTTCCCCCTGAAATCACGTACCTTAACTTCAGCCCTTTGGCTAAAGTTATGTTCTCCCCTGTTTTAAAAAAACACACTGAACTGAGGAAAGGATGAAACATTCTAACAGAGCCACTGCTGCCACACTGGGGTGTTGTAAAAGAGAGGCAGAAACTGCTGGTAGTGTCAGCAGAAACACAAAAACCAGACAGACTCTTCAATCTTCACAGGGGGTGCGGAGCCAGAGGAAGCACAGATACCAACATGTTTCTTTACATCTTGAGAATTTCCAAAGTCAGAAGGGAAAAACAATGGAGTAATTTGCATAAAGCCTCAAGCTGAACAGCTAAACAGGGATGTTTCACTGTGTTTAACCCAACACAAGTGTTTTTGGCACCCTGTCCATGAGAAGGGAAGATCTTTGACCAGAGACAAACAGATCTTGAGCGTTGTGGTACCTCCCAGCACCTCCTCTCTACACAGCAACTCAAATGCATAGGGTACATCCACCAGGACCTGTCCTACCACCAGCATCTTCTTAGATGGTGGAAGTCAAGGCTGACTGGCTGGCCTGTGGCAGGTCATCTCTAGTAGACTTGTCCCCATGAAGGTCTGAGCAGCCGAGAACAGATGAGAGCATGAGGTGGGCCACCTCATGAAAAGCCTGAGTGTTAGTGTGAGACTGCATGCAGGGGAAGATACAAGAAAGGATATGAGAGGACAAGAACACAGGAGACAGCACATAAGTTTGTGACAATGTGTGTGTGAGAAAGAAAATAGTTATGAGAGCAGTTCATGGAGTTACTTCATTTCACAGCATGAACAAGCACAGATGGATGTGTAAAAGAGTCATGAACAGTACCAGAAACCCATCAGAGAGTAAGAGTATGGTGGAGACACAGGACATAGATGAACCAAGTATTACAGTAGAGCTCCTGAGAACAGCACCACATGTAAATTTTCTCTGTACTGTATTTTAGTATTTAGTATAAAATACTAAATAAATACTGTGTTTAGTATTTTAGGAAAGTACTGGAGTAGTGTATTTGTCTTCCCACCCAGCTCTTACCACATTGTGACTATATCCATGCAACACTGTGTTATAATGACTAAGCTTTCAGGAAACTACCGCATCACTTTTGAGGACAGCACCAGTATTTCCACAGTTACTAAGCTTCAGCCTTTCTAAATAGTCTAGCTTCATCATAACTCTAATGCCAAGGCCTAATGACAGACATCTTAGAAATGTGGGGCTGATCTGATCAGGCAGACCAAACAGTTGGAGGCTTTCCTCTTTAGCTGGTGGGTGACATGGTGTATCTTATTACTTCATGGAACATCAAAATTTGAGGTTTAAAATGCCTTAGACAAAATACCATTTAAATAAGGAGAAAAAAACACACATTTCAGTGGTCATTCCTTAGCACATTCCTGCTATTGTGAAAGTTCACATCTCACAAGGGCTGGGGCAGAAATCCCCCTCTCCAGGCCTGCAGATTGAGTAGAGCTACAACAGGTGAGTTTGTGGAAACATAGAAAGATAAACAGTTAGATTAATCCTATTTTTTCCTCAAGCCCACCTGTCTTGACTTGGATAGGGCTGTAAATTGCATCAGCTGAGGATATGGCCCACTGCTGTGATTTTATTTTATCCTTGATCTACTTCGTGAATTCTTCTTAGCTTTTTTTTCAGGATCTGTAATTTCGCTTTCAATGGCTCAGTAGTGAACAGGTTCAGTTTCAAGGAGAGAGACCTTCTGAACCCACATATGTAGAGCTCATCACCATGTTACTGCAGTCCTGCATGGACTGGCACCACCAAACTGCAGCAGCCCATGAATAGATCATTATATATATTTTATATACAGTAATATGCAAAGTATTTTTAAATTACATTTTCTTGATTAATATTACCAAAATATTTTGTTGACATGCTGGTATCTAAGAGATTGCAGCCACAAACTAAGATTGCACATGCTTAGAAACTGTGTAAATGCAGAACAGGGTAAATACATGCCCAATTACCACCTGAAGCAGTCACTGCATTGCTGATAAAGGCTTTAGGAAAACACTATTGCCCAAGAGCATTGAGCAGAGCAAACAACACAGACCTCAGCCATCAAAGGAAACAATTCCTTGAGTGGAAAAAGCTGTTTTCTTACACATGGAGATGACATCCAATTCAAGATGCCTGTTTCAGTATCAGTGTGGCTGGACATGATTTACAGGCACCTGTGGATAATTAATTCCGGCTCTGGAAGAGAGAGCTGGTACTCATTAGAGGTTCCTTGAAGCCCAAATGATATCATGATTAACTGAGTTGGGATCTTTTTAATAATTCCAGCAGTTTTAACTCTCCCTGTTAAAAATCTGCTGAAAAGTTTTCATTCAGTTTAAAGACTCCTCTCAGAGAACAAATCATTCATAGATTGTACACACGGATTTAACATTCACAAATCAATGCACTTGAAACAGAATATGTTTTTAAAGTTTCTCTTTCACTTTCTTCCCTGATTTAATGCTTTTCTTTCTTCTAACCAATTTTACCTCAGGCATTTAAAACTGCTGCATGAAAAAGGGCTGCTTTTCTGTTAGAAATGCTTTTAGCACTTTGGCACCCTGAAATGGAAGGTGGCAGAGAAATGCAAAATACAGCTACTACACTAATCCAGTACATCTCATCTGACACACCAAGGTTTTCACTTCAAGCCATGCTAGAGAAAAATCTATTAGAGGGTGAGATCCGTTGACGGCTGTCCAACACATTTCAGCATTACAGTGCAGGAGGAATCAAAGCCTATTTTATCCCTGCTCCTAAATAATGCCAGAGGAAAACATTTTGATCCAGATGCTTTGAAGGTATTTAGACTTTTGCTTAGCTCCTATTTAAGTACTTTACTGTCAATAACTCAGGACGTGTCCCATCTCCTGCACTCTGTACATCTGCTACTTTAGTCAGTGAACAGACCTTCAATGCCTTCAGTGGGAATGGAACAAGTACTTTAATGACTTGTTCAGTGATGGCCTAAATCTTTAAGCAGTTTCACCCAGTAACTCACACCAGAGCTGGTAGGAACTGCAGGTGCTACGCTGGTGGGTGGCCAAGGACAGAACCAAAACTCAGATTCAAATCTCCTAATTATCAGCCTGCTCTCTGAAACTAAGGAATGCACAACTGATGTGTAGGCTGATAAATGCACATACATTCATAATGAATATGGTTATGTGTGGAAAACAGCTCTGTCTTCTGTACACAGGCCCAGGTCTGTGATCCAGGGAGTTTAATTTTCTAAAACTTTCCAGATTGACAAAGTCAAGTTTAAGAACTTCACTGCTTCAGATCTAAGGACTTACTAACCCAGTGCTGAGGCTAAGACAATGGTTAATAGTTTGAGACACTAATTGAACATATTTAATGAATTTAATTTTTAACAACCATGCTAATATCCATAACGATTAACTCTGATCAGTTTTACCTTCCTTGGGACCTACACCTGCTCCCATTAACTTCAGTGGGATACAGATCAAGGCCACAGCATTAATCCTTTCTGGACCTCTTCAGTGGCACAAATTAACCCTTGCAGATGGCTTCATACACAACAACCAGGAAAATGACAGAGCTGAAGAACAGAAACCACATCAAACTACCCTGCTGCTCTAACAAATCTGATCACATTAAGACTTCCCAGCACTCCTCTCAGGAAGGGAACTGCATGCCTAACGTGACAAGCAGGGCCACACCTCTCCTGGCATGGAATTCTGACAGCAAAAATTTGATGAAGGTGATGAGAACACACCATAACACTCAGTTCTTCTGCCACACTTTTCTTCTCCAAAGACCTGGGCAGACGTGCGTTTGATTTGCTAAGTCAGTGTTTTTCTGAGGGTTACACTATGTGCTTGTCACAACAGAGTTGCATGACCCACCTTCATATTAAACCACCAGCCTGATTCTTACTCACAGCCTGTTCATAGGAAATCAGTGAGCCCATGAACCAGAAATACTCTGTTTATAGGGAGCCCTCCCTTGGAAGCAGAAAGAAACTAAAATATTACAGTCCAAACTTGTTCCACAGTATTTTGAAAGTGGCACGCCGAGTATGAAAAGCACTACTCAGGATTAACAACGCGTCGGTTTGAGACGTGCTTCAAGTTGTAATTAAGGCAGGAGGGACACAGCAAGGAGGGGGATGCCCAATACAACTGAACTTTAATTACAACATCTATATGCACAGAAGCCTATATGCTTACATCCTCCAGTGCTCCCAGCTCTCTACCTCTACAATATCCTATAAGGGAAAATTTGTTTTAACAAAAATAAAACTCTCCGTTCAGCCAAAAACGCACCAGCCAGCACCCCGCTCCCTTGCACCATCTGTGCCTGTTTATTCTCAGCCTCCTGACAAAAAAAAACCCACAACTCTTAACGTTTTACTAATCTTTATGCCCGTCACTATAAATAACAGAAATAAACCCCAACAACCGTTAAGACATCCAATCCACTCCGATTATTTCTGCTTGTCTGTCCACGAATAGATGCAGCCATCGGCTTCGGGGGAGAGCGTGCAAGTCAGACCGCATTTATTTACAATTGCACTACCAAGAAAAAGCCTTTCCCCATCTCCTCGCCCAGTTAATACTTTCAAACACTTTTTTTGCCCCTTTTTTTCTCTTTTTTGGGGGGTGAGGAGGGGTGTCAGCCCAGCGTATATATGTATATATATTGTTGTCCGTGTTTCCAGATCACCCTGACTTCTTGCTCGGATGGATGAGCAGTGCGCGGAGCAGCACCAATGCGTGCACACACGAACATACAGGCACACAGACAGGCACCCACCCGCAGGGGACACCGCGCATCCCCACAGGGAAGGGACACCCCCGACCCGCTCCCCCGCAGCCGCTCCCCTCCACTTACGTCCCCAGCGTCTCCTTGAACTCGAAGATCTTCTTGATGTCCTCCGCTTGCTTCTTCCAGGAGCCGCCACCGTCCCCGTTCTCCCGGGCCATGGCCACGGCGCGCAACCCCGCGCAGCCCCGCGGATGCTGGCGCAAGCGGCACCGAGCTGTGAGCGGCTTTTGCTTTCTCTTCTGCCGCGGTAGCAGCGGCGGCGGCGGCGGCTGCTGCTGCTGCTGCTGTTTCTTCTTCTTCTTCCTCCTCCTTCTTCTCCCCTTCCTCCTCCTCCTCACACTTCCTGCCCGCCGCCGCTTTTATTTCCTCCGCGCTCCGGCGGGCTCCGCTAGCGACACTTTTCCTGGGCTATTTCCTACCAACTTTCTCTGCCCCCCCCCTCCTCTATCCCCCCTTTCCCCTCCTCCGCTCCGCACCGCCCCGCGGAGTCACTTGCGGGGTTCCCCCGTCCCTCCCTCTTTGCGCACCCTGCGCAGCAGCTGCGCGCAGCCTGTCTCGGGGTCACTTTGGTCCCTGACAGACCCACCCAGCGAAAAAGTCCCTTTGGGGTTTTTTTTTCTCTTTTTTTGTGGGCGGGATGTCACTGTTTTCTTCCCCACCCCCCTTGCGGGGCCCCGGGGGATGCTCAGCCTCCCGGGCGCGGAGCGGTGCCGAGCGGCGCGGAGCGGCCCCGCCGGTACCGCGGACGCAGCGGCTGTGCGCGGTTGTTATGGCAATGGGAGGAGGAGGAGGAGGAGAAGGAAGAGGAGGAGGAGGAAGAAGGAGGAGGCAGCCCCACCGCTGCTCTGCTGCCTGGCGCTGCCCCTCCTGACTGAATGACTGAAGATAATTCGCATTGCACCAAAACCGCGCACGTCAAACGGGAGGGGAGGGAAAGCGAAGAGGGGGGGGGAAAGGGAAAGCAAGGGGAAAAAAATTAAAAAGCCACACCACAAGCAGCCGCGCTGCCTGGATGGGCTGGGCGCGGCGCGGCGCTGCGCAGGGATGCGCCGGGATGCGCGGAGGCGATGGTGCCAACCTGCCCCGCGCACACACATACACACATTCCTGGGATGCAAAAACTCGCCCCTTCTCACGGACCCCCCCTTACCCAGCACCATCAGAGAAGCAAGGGGCATTCAAACACCAGGGTCACCCCCTTGAGCAACACCAAGCCCGGAGGCAGGTGGATGGGCACTGTGTAGCCTTGTCAAGATGCCCAAGTCCCGGCACGGTGTTCTGAGGCAGGCAGGACACCGGCCGTAGCACACACACACGCATGGCCCCGCTGAGATTATTGTTAAAAGCAGCTTTTTCTCAGCGACACTGAGACCTCTAGTGTTGTCACATCGGGCATCAGCTGAGCTCTGATGCGGGGTGATGGGCAGAATTCATCAGAAACATCAGAGGAAATTACAGCCTAGGTTAACTGAGATACATTTATAGTTTATAAATGCAGAGTTTTCAGTTTCAGAATATGTAAGGGCACTAAAAAAGTGCAATTCTTTCGGGACACAAGTTAAGCGACTGAAGCACAGGCCTTGCTGCTGGCAGGTGCACGCACTCCTGTGCTGCAGGGACAGCTTCAAACCTGTCCATCACATTAGGTACCTGGAAATAAATCCTAATACAAGAGGCTAAATAACATTTACTTAATGTTATTGTATAAATAAAAGCAGACGTGATTGTACACACATACCTGTTTAACATGCATCATGTCCTTTAACAGATCCCTTAAAATTCTACTTTCAAAGCTGTTTTTCCAAATCTCCCATAATTTATGGGAAGAATGTAGAAGGTATCAGCCTGTGAGGCTTTCCCGGAGTCTGGGCTGAGCTGTGCCTCCCATTTCAAAGAGAATGTGGCAGAGGTGGGAATTTGGAGGTGCATGAAGGTGTTAAACTTGGAGAACAGGCTGGGGTGTCTGGGCAATGCTACCCTCTGCTGGGCAGAGCCAATCTGCTTTGCATGTGCCACCTCTATTTTGATGCTTTGTGGCTGTGCAGCAACATAGGCGGACCAAAGAGCCTGGGATTTCTACAACGGGTGCTTACCTGCGCTTTGAACAGCTTTCCTTCTGCTCCTGACTTACTCCCATCGTATCACTACCCTTTTGTTTTTGTTGCTTGATCTTTATGACCTGCTCCATGGTAGTGTCACCAGAAGTCCCCAGGAAGGCTTTCCATGCCACTTCATACCTGGGAAATGAAAGCCATGATTGAGCTAAAAGGATGTCATTGATCACCAAATCCAAGTTTCCCTTCAACCTGCATCCCCTTGATAGTTTCTCTCTTTTTCACATGTAAGCCACTTGGTATCAGAAATACCACACTGTGATTTGGGTTTACTGAGTGGGGCTAACCTCCTGTCTTCTGGATAAGATTGAAAGAGTTTGAGGCCAGAAAGGGCAAGGGTGATCATCTGCCCTGACCTCCAGAGTGACAGAAGCCAAAGAGCTTCATCACCCAGAAGATGAACACCATAACTTATCTTGGAGCTATGGCACACCAGAACCACCCACCACTATTATTCATGAAGTCATGTTGGTCCCTACAGCGTCAGGTTAAAACCTCACTGCACAGACAGCATCACCCACTTTACATTCTCACTTTTAACGGCCAAAAAATTTATTTACAATTGCTCAAATCCTTGCCAATGCTGCAATTTCTCAGCATCAAAATTGCATAAGATAAAGGTACATGTCAGCCTGTAAATCTAAGTTTTCTTTTCCTTATTTAACGTGCATCCTCAGCACCACATGAATATGCCTTTTTTTGTGATAAAATAACTCATGTGATGTAGCAGGTAATATAGAAATCTCTGGAGCCATTACAGTTTTAATGAGAAGTATACGAGATGCTCCTATTAGGCAGGAACCGCTGGCACAATAGACCGTAACAGCCCCTTCAGAGTCATTACAATCTGTCATGTCAGGCTGAATTTAGGGAGTCTGTAATCTTGCTTGACTGACAAGCACCTGCAGAGCTATTGTGGCTATTTGAAGAATGAGTGTTTTTAAAAAATGAGAATTCTACATGAAAAGTTCTCTCTTTGCTGCATACAGCAGAGCCTGCTGCGCCTATGGGGCTCTGTGTGGCTGCATTCAGTGTTTCATTACATACAACTAGATTACATGAACATCAACAGAGTGGTAAAATGAAGCACACAGAAGTGCCAGAATTCAGACTGCCAATAAAACATTGATTTGGGCCCTTTCTGTAGCCGCACGGTGGCAATTTCTTATTACCTGGGCATGCTCTGCAGCTCCGTCAAGGGTTAGATCAGAACAGTGCTAATGAGCAGATGTGGTTGATGTGCTTTTGAACTAGCTACACATATTGCATGTGCACCCAATCACTCCATCCAACAAAACTCCAAACCTTTACTTTGGAGAGGTAGAAGTTCCAACTTTTTTATAAAGCCTCCTGTGGGAATATTGGAAATTTAGGGGAGAAATTAAAAATCAGCTTCTAGATGAGATGGTTTATTTCAAAGTAAAGTGATAGGATTTTTGGAGTAATATTTAAAACTACATCTCTACCACTTTGCTCCTTCCAGGTGATGTTGGGGTTGCTCATATATGGTACAGCTGCTCTCAGCCACACTCGCTGCTGGCCCTTAACATGGGCACTGTGGGAATTACATTACAATGAGCATAAGTAAAGGAGTCATGTCTGCTTTCCAAGATCTTTCATTTGCAACCTGCTTTTCTTCTGCTAAAATACTATAATATTGGATCTCTTTCCCATCGCTGTTTCTGAGTCATACAATATAATCTTCCTTTTCAATTTTAAATCAACACTATTGATGCTTTTCTGCAAAACTGTCAGAAACATGCCAGTTGCTCATTTGCCCAGGTCCATGCTCAACAGATAAACACCCACATGTCCATGCCCATGCTTAGGGTTAAAAACCCATGTGCAAGCTGTACTTTGTAAGGCAGTGACCTCCAGCATCAGAGCTGGAGCAGCTTCAATGTAAAGCAAACAACATTGAAGCACACAAGTGTCCTCTGCTGCCTTTACGACCATGTAGCAACCTTGGATAGTCCTCTAAAAACTGGGGCCAACCCCAGAGAGAAGGTGGATTGTTGATTTCACACACATAGGTATATACATATGCTAACTGCAGTGCAGCAGGAGCGAAGTTATTTGGTGCTGGTCTGCTCTCACAGATGCTGATAGCAACACTATCATAAGTGAGTGTAGACCTTGGCAAGCAATTCAAAGCAAAATGGTATCTCAGATGCTGCATAGCCTCTAGGATGAGCCCAACATGAAATAAAAACCTGGGGCAAGGCATCTCGATAGAACAAGAGGAAACGGCCTCAAGCTGCACCAGGAGAGGTTTATACTAGATATTAGGAAAAATGTCTTCACTGAAAGGGTGCTCAGGCATTGGAACAGGCTGCCAGGGCAGTGGTGGAGTCACCGTCCCTGGAAGTACTCAAAAAACAGGTAGATGAGGCCCTCAGTGCCATGATTTAGTGGTGGCCTTGGCAGTGCTGGGGTAAAGGTTGGACTTTATGATCTTGAAGGTCTTTTGCAACCTGGTTGCGTCTATGATTCAATGCGTCTGTGATCTTCAAATTCGGCAGCACAGGTTACAATCTTGCTTTTTAAGGGACCAGGTCTGACCAGCATGACAAACATTCCCTCCAACCTCACTTTTTTTCCCATGCATTCACACATCTCTTGGCATTTTCAAGAGTGGGAATATTGTAGCTCCAGCCTCTGACCCAAGGTGACCCATTTGGAAATTTAGAGGAAATCCTCTTGGGTATTGTGCTGAGTCATGAGAAAATGAATTTATGATAAGAATTGTTTGCTTAAAAACAGAGACAGAAAGTGGCTTATTTTAAATGAGAAATTTAAATGTTTATTTAAATGAGAAAGTTGCTTCTCTTAGAAAAATAAAAACGGTTCACTGCTATTTCTTTCATTGGATGTATTAAAAAGAACCACAGTTTGAAAGGTGCTCTTTGCTAGGGGACCACAGGTTTGGGGTTTTTTTACCACAGATTAAACTAGTGCTTATGGTTGGGTTTTAATGTTTTCCAGGTTAGCTTTGACACCACAAATTCAGTACAGAAAACTATAAACTCAGCTCTAAAGACGTCCACCACATCAGGATGAACCTGCTGCAGCTGATGCCAGCAACAATGCTCCTTTGAGCTGACTGAAGACTTTTCAGTGACTTCAGGGGACCTTGACTTGGAC